CGTTAGGTTAAGGGTTAGCATTAGGTTTTTCGTTAGGTTTAGGGTTAGGTTTAGGGTTAGGTTTGGGGGGGTTAGGGTAAGGTTTTCGCTTTATTTTTACATTTTTCGATCTTTTTCGTCGCGCTGTGATGACGTCACATACGCGCTTTCGTCAACTGCGATTTTGTCGTCCGCGGTTTTGTGGTAGAACCGCTATTGTAAGTCGAGAACTACCTGTAAAGCAACTATAATTTCCCTCTCTCTCCCCACTTTTACGTTGAAATTTGAATTTGAGACTGTGAGAAGGGGGAGGAATCTGCTCAGGCCTGAAGAGAGGACCCCACACCTTCTGCTGGGAGGTCGCGGGGTGAGGAGAGTTCTTCCGCTTCAGAAGATCCCACTGGGTCGGGTGGAGAAGGGAAGTTGAGGAGGCTAGAGTTGGCCTCCCCATGGTTTTCTGGTGGAGCTGGAAGATCTGTGCTCCAGGAGGAGACATCCTTTTCACTTGAAGATGGGAGATCACTGCTTCCATAAGTCAGCATTTCATCCACAGGAGACACCACATCATCATCCAGTTCAGGAAGAAGCATGGCGTCCCCTTCGTTTTCCATGAGGTCCTCCTCTTGGAGAGAACTTAAACGAACCGTTGGCATTTCAGCTTTATTTATACTTTGGTTCCTGGCTGGGGAACTTTTTCGATGCTCCTCAACCAAGACCCCATTGCCCATGGATGTTTTGTGGAGTTGGACACTGGTTTCGACTGGCTTGTGGGATACACACTCATCCGTTGAACGGTTGGCACAGCCAGGTTGGTCCCCTGACGCGGGCAGGTGACCAGAAGAAATTGGAAACCTGTGGCCTCTTGAATGCTTTGGGCCGTGTAGTGGGTCCTCAGGATCTTCAGGAGCGCCAATGTTCAGAGAAAAAACTGGTGCCAGTGTCACGATTGCCTCCTGGTTACCAAAACGGGGTGGGTTTTCATCCTCAACATCTTCTCCAGCTTCATTAGAAGAAGGCGCAGGGTCCTTCTTCCCTTCAGCCCCGGGACTCTGAAAAGGAACGTTGGTGGAGAAGAAAACCATCCCTGGGTCCACTGGGCTTCCAGAAGTCATCTCGTCCCCACCATTTTCTGTGCAGGAGAGCTCCTCAGAAATGTTCAAAGAAGCTGCAGTGCTTGGTGTATGGACACGATCCTTTTTGGCCACAGGAGAAGGACTCTCCTGCACCCTTCCATGGTTGGATAATATAACAGAGTCAGATTCCTCCAACCTTTCTCTTCCACGTGTGTCTTCCCAGATCTTTTCCTGGCTATACAGAGCACACGCCGAGTCTCTCGACTCAAGATCTCCACCAGAAAGTTCTCCCTGGGGCTTCTTCTCTGAGGAGGATGGACTATCTTCTGTGTTGATGACTATCCTGGGCACCGCTGGAGCTTGGTGATGAGTAGAGACACCCAGTTGCTCAGGGAGGGGTTCCTGGAAGAGGAATTCTTCAGGGAGGCTCACGTCGGTGTCTTGTAGGCCCTCATCTTCTAAATCTGAAGGAGAACTTCCAGAGAGATGGACTAGAACCGCGTAGCCCTTATGGAATTCAAGACCAGACGGTGACTTTTCTGGATATGGAGAGAAACCACGAAGTGCGGAAGGAAATCCTGCAGAAGAAGAATCTTCTGGGTCTTTGTCCAGTGGAGAACCAGGATGGTCGTCTTGAGAATTCTTGGTCAAACCATGATCATATTCTTTTCCTCCTCGACTGGACAAGTGATCTAGAAACAGCAGAAGCATGGAAATAAATTCAGTTTTAGGTCTTAATATCAGATTTCTCGGTATGCCCGCAGCGTCTCCCCAGCCTATTATTATTATTTAATATTGTTCTATTAGCCAGCGCAACAATTGACTCGAGACATTTTCTAAGTGAGATTTTAACGGCAAAAACGGCATTTCATCATGTTGAAGTGTTGTGAATAAGTAAGAGTTCTGCGGAACTGTAATTCCTGCCTCAATATTTATAATTTCCTACAGACGAGGCACCTACAAGGCTAATAAATTATAGAAATGTCTCCGATGGAAGATCTAGGATTTAGTTTCTATAAGCTGAATGGGAAGGCAGAAGAAATATGAACTGCTGGAAATATTAAGAAAGCAAAATCTCTCAGATAAATGGATTTCTTTTTCTTTTTTTCCTTTTTCTTTTTTTTAAATGCGGCCTCTTAAATTATGTTGGAAATGTCTCGGAAGAAAGCACATTTTTAATAGCCCAAACGGAATAAGCTCTGCCTTGTTTTCTGAAGAAGCTACATAATCATATCACTTAATAAACTCGGACAGATTTCGGGCTCTTGCGTGATTTACGCCAACGAGATGTCGAGCAGGACATTCTAGCCATCAAAGGGGAAACTGAGGCTCTTTCGGTCTGCATTAAAGGGTGATTGAAGTGGGCAAATTGGACGCCACAAGCCCCGAGTTTAATTTATTATTTCCTTGAGGAGCCTTTCAGGAAGACATAATTTACAGAGAGAAGGTCACAAGGAAATGTTGGTTGGAAAATGGCTTAGAAAGGTTCCTCGGATAGCTAGAAATGCCGGCTTGATTCCATCCCCCAAAAACCCCAACCAACCAGCCACTTTCTACCCAACCCTGGGAATAAAATTCTCTTCTCCCGTCACTCCTTTTTGAGTGCCAAAAGATTCAAGGAATTGAAGGGGGAGGGGGCTCTTCTTTAAAGTTTTTTTTTCCTTTAAAGTCGTTAAAAGTTTCGTGGGACTTGCATTTTCAACAGCGAACAAAGCTATGCAGGAAGTCTGTTGACTTACGACCGTTCCTTTAGCGACTGTTGAAAGTGACAACGACGCTGAAAAAAAGTGACCGATGGAATGTTTTTCACACTTAACGACCGTTGCGGTATCCCTGTGATCAGTCATTAAGCGAACAGGGCAGTTGTTAAGGGAACCCATTCATTTGGAGGAATTTGTTTTTTTTTGGGGGGGGGGGTGTCAGAAATTTGCAAAATGGTTACCTGCTGTTCTTCCATCTCCGAGGGTTGGATCCCGGGATCTTCGACCAGAAAGATCATATAGATCCTGGATTGTAGTTTCCTTTCCTTCTTTCCACTTTTCAAATCCTTCTGCTGCCCGATTCTCCGGTGGCAAAATGTCCTTTGACTCAGCCAGATGTCTATAAAGAGACCATCCTGAATTAATTGGAGAGGGAGTGCATAGCCAAGGCTACGGTTTTCCCAGTTGCAAAGGATGGCTGTGAAGGTTGGACCACAAGGAAGGCTGAGCACCAAAGAATGGAGGCCTTTGAACTCTGGTGCTGGAGAAGAAGACTCCTGCATTGAGTCCCTTGGACTGCAAGGCCATCCAACCGGTCAGTCCTGGAGGAGATCCACCCCAGATGCTCTTTAGAAGGCCAGATCCTGAAAGAGGAAACTCAAAGGCTTTGGCCACCTGATGAGAAGGAAGAAGGACTCCCTGGAGAAGAGCCTCATGCTGGGAACGATGGAAGGCAAAAGAAGAAGGGGACGGCAGAGA